ACCTGGGCACGGCAGTGATGGGGAGAGCATCATGCTTGCCTGTGGAACCCAAACTCCTTCAAGAGTCCATAAAAGCTGAAGCAGCAGCTCAGCTGCTCCAGTTCACCCATCCCGGATGGACACGAGAGGATGTCAGCTGAAAGTTGCCATCACCTTAGCTTTGGCAGAGTGGAACGCAAAGGATTCTCTGTCTCCCAAAGGGGGAAAGATTTGGGCTTTTAAGCCAGGAGAGGCAAGTGCCAGCCCTCCCATCACCCTGATCTGTGCAGCTAGGAACCCGCCACACCCCTCGGAGATCCTTGCTATAACAGCGGATGGGAAGATCCGCCCTAGCAGGAGGCTAAGGAGAGTTCACCTAAAAATAGGCTGAACTTCCCCAGGAGGCAGCCAGCGGGGATCCTGCAGGGACGCAGCTCAGCAGAAGCCAAAGGAGGGAGGAAGTTGGTTTTTCTCTCTCCCTTTGAAGCTCCCCAGGCGGGCGTCCCCCCAGGCTGAGCTTGAGGGCGGCAGCGAGCAAGGACCGGGTGCCGGCACCATGCTTGCCTCCTCGCTGCACCAGGCTGGCGTAAGGCTCCCCCCACCGTTGGCAAACCCGACTGTGCCGAGGAGAAGGCTGAAGGCTCCCGTCCCCGCAGTCCTGCCACGTCCCCGCAGTCCTACCACGTCTGCCCGGCAGCGCTGCCTGCCAGCTCACCTGCTCTCCATTCCCAGCCTGGCGGGCAGCAGGGAGCGGTTTGGGGAGCGGACTCCCAAAACTCTGCAGGAGTCACCCAGGGAGAGGTGAAGCCCCAGAGATGGGGTTGGCCTCCATGCTGCTGCAAACCACCCGCTCCAGCACAGGGAGCATGACCTGCATCAACCGCTGGCGGTGGTGCCATCATGACTGCTGGCATCACCCGCCGACAGGATGGATGCCCGTTCATCGCCCGAGGGCGAGGAAATGTGCCAGGTGGGAGGAGCTGGAGCAGGACCACAGCTCACCCGAGCGGGAGCTGCCCTCCACCCATGCCCGGTGGGGAAAGCCTAGCTGCCGTGGGGGGTGAGTCAAATGTGGCTGCACCCGGCACCTCCCAGCACAGCCTTGGAAAGCCACGGGCTCGCTAGCGCCAAGGTGAATCCCCCCGCCCACCAGAAAGCGACCTTCCACATACAAAGCCCTCTGCGCCGGGGAACAGAGCTGCTTGGAAGC